TTGTTTTTCAACCAACTTGCCCCTCTGCTTTGACTATATTTGAAAAAATAACTCCAATATCAGAGATCAAATTATAAAATGATTAACTAATATTGGAGTATCTTACTTATTTCATCTTGAACTGATCAAATTGTGATAGTTCTTTATTGAAATATAAAAGTAAAAACACTTTTTCTTCAGTGTCCAATCAACTATATCTACATTAAGGGAATGTGTACTTATTGGGCAAGGCTGATAACAATAAGCATTATCCCTTGAAATAATTTCTCTTTAAAAAAGTTATGCTTCAGGTTTTATTCTGATTTTCTTTCATTACTACTTTTCTTTAGAAAATATTTCAACATGAAAATATCAGGTGGTCTTGTTTTCTCTTCATTTTACTGAAATATGACAATATCTTTGTTAAATTTTAAAATATCAGATGGGTTTATAGCTCTCATCAGATTAATAAGTGTCAATATATATTGAATATTTATTCTTTTAATAAATGAAGTATTAAAATAATCAGTTGGCCATTTCCTTCACCTGACATGAAAAATAGTGTTGGCCCATCTAAGACATAAAAATGTTTTACTTAGATGAGATCTGTGCCAGCTTTTTACCTAGTCAGGCAATAACTATAATCACTGTGTATCACTGGCTTCTGTAGTTGAACTTGATGATAAGGAGGAGAGAGAGAGAAGGGTGTTACTGCTGTGTTATTATTCATCTTTTTTTTAGAGTAGAAGAAATCTGCATTTGGTTAATCAATAGAAATGACACCTTAACAGCCATATTTGTCTCACAGTTACTAATTTATCAAATGGGCTAGAGATTATGCAACAAGATTAGCACAAATGCTTCTTAATGTTTTTTTTTAATTTCTGCTCTTTTCTTGTATAAGTAAATGAAGCTAAAAGAAATTATTCAACTAAAAAATACAATTGGAATTTATTCAATTTTTTTATGTATTTTTCTCTGTTTATTTTTCTTTTGTGTTTTTTGATTGTCTCAGGATCAATTCACTTATAACTTTAAACCAGTTGATAGAATTACTTTTGAAGGTTCAATTTGGTTGTATCTTTTACTTGAAATATATTGTTTAATGGTTAATTTAATAAAATTTGATCTGAAGTAAAAAGTTTCCCTCTATTTATTTTGGCTAATTCTTAAACTAATCTACACCTTTCCATGTGTCTTCATTATTCATTTAAGGTTCAAACCAAAAGCGCACTCACAATGAGTAAATAGAAGTTTGCTTGACTGTGAAGCTCTTTGTAGGTGAGCAGGCTGGATTAGATGGTGGTTACTCCTGCAAAGGGGATGCAGTTTCAATATATATATATATATATATATATATATATATATATATATATATATATATATACACACATTGGATGCACCAAGTAAGTGAGATCAAATTATCATTTTCAAAGAAGTTTATACACATATTCAACTTAGAAAAACAAAAGGTTATTTAATAAAACCACATAGTCTTGAGGTTGACCCTAATGTGACTTCAGAAGTGAATACATGCCTGTTGGCCTTGATGAATTCTTGTTTTCTTTCTAGTATGTGTCCCTTTCAAAAATATCCTAGACATAGTAGTACAGGGGATTCATCTTATGAATATTAAGAGGTTACATACTGTGGGCAATATGATTATGAAAATTCTTAACTAGCCACACCTGGATCACATGAGCTATGTTGGAGGAAGCTAAAATATATAGGCTCAACTCCCTTGATCCAGGGTTTAACCATCATGTTTAATATCTCAATGTAGATGACAGCATTGACACTGAGGCTATGAAGGAAGAAGTGTGGTAATATGACATGGCCCTTGTTACTTGCAACCTCCAGGACTCTCATAGAATAGATGAACTTAATATGCATTACTGCATAGGTTCTGCTGTTTCTCCTGTTCACCAAACCACTTTCAAGGAGCTGGAAATCAAATCACAGTGATTAGTTTGTGCCACTAGCAGCATGGTGTACTTTTCTATTTCCTGTGTCAGAAGTTGGCATGTTAATATTCTTGAAACATCTGAAAGAGAAATGAGAAAATTAAAATTTAGTGCGTGTCACGTAACATCAAGTTAGGTCACCTACTACTAATGGTTTATTAAATGTGTGTACTCAAATAATCAGTACAGTCTGTATAAAAATGATTTTCAAAGAAAAATTTATGAGATATTTTTACAGCCAAATCTAAAAAGGGCATATGAATTTTTTTAGAATATGTATCACCAAATTTATCAATGATAAAAGTTGTATTGTTTTTAAATTATATTTGAAAATTTTTTAGTAAAGGTGTCAATGAAGAACATTTTTCATTTAAATTATAATGCATTTGTAAATCTTGTAAGGTCATATTTGAGTTACAAATGCATTATTAAGTAAGTACAATATAGAGAAGTTGAACAATGAATGCATTATTTGAGCTGTGGCTGCATTGGCGTTTGATAAAAAAATTGCTAATAATAAAATAAACAAATTAAGAAGAAAACTAATATCTATTTTTATCTTTTTGTTGGAACACTTCTGTCATTTATCAAAACAAATATTGGATACATACCAACCAAAATGTTTTAAAAATTTATCACTTTTTTTAAGAGGATGTGTATAGTATCTGAAAATCTACTTTCTATGATGAGTTGTTTCAAACAATAACACTAATGCACATATTGGCAAGTGAATAATTTTGCCTATATTTTAATCAGATGATAAGTGTATGTATTGGCAGAAAGCAAGAAAAAATTAGGTTATTATTGGCATTTCTACATGAGTTGGGGTTCAATCACATGCTGTGCAAGTTTTAACAATATTTAATTTCCAATTTCTCTGGGGAAAGTTTGTGAGAGAGATTTGGGGCAGATGAGGAACGAAAAGACAATTGATTTCTTAAAGTATAGAATGATAAAAGGTTATTCTGCTTTTTTTTTGGTATTAGCACCATCAAAGAGACAGGAATAGTGCAGTCTTCAAAGGTCAGTTTGTAATCTACTAAGTGCTTTTTAGGTTAGAAAGGCAGTTCATTGGTTTATATGAATATACATATCTGGGATCCTTTTATACTTTGTGGGAGCCCAGAAGTTATTGATAGTCCATCCATACAGTTTCAAGTTTCTGGAGTATACTCGGATTTTTACCTAATTTTATTTAACCTGCTGTGTGGATGAGAATCATGTTTGGGAATAGAGTACATGGAAGTTTTATTTGGTACATGAGCTGCTGAGTTGCATCCTAGATAATGTTAAGAAACATTGGGCATTATTATTGGCATTATATTATCTCTTTTTTGATGTTCTTTGTTTTCTTATTAAAATTCTTCATATTATCCATTTATTTCTAATTTGTTTTTGTCAATGTGTTTCATTTTCAATTGATAATTTTTTTTTTTTTTTTTTAACTGGTCATGCTTTAATAATGAACTTGAGGAAAGTAGGGTGATCTGTAACAATGTGTGTAATGTAATTCAGTAAGAAGATGACCCCCAGCTTCATTGTCAAGGAGTGGGTTATTGGAAATCATTTGCTCCCTACCAATGAAAATAAGAACTAATTTTAATGTGCAAATACTTATTCATGGCCCTGTTGATTTAAATACAAATTTGAATACAAAGTTTCCCTAAAAGATATAATCATACTTTTGGACATTTTCAACATCTGATATAATGCATCCTTTATATATAAACTATTTTTATATATCTCATTCTGTTATAACATTTACTCTTAATTGCAGAATTATTAAATTTAATGCATTAAGGTGTCTGTGTGCATATCAAGAATATCTGTTTTAAAATATCCATAATTTCTAGTTTATTGAATATTGATTACCAACAAATGTATTCCTCAAGTGACTTTCCTTCTTTACATTAATGAAAAGGAGTGAACACACATTTCTCTTTAAATACTGATTCATTTGAGATTTGTATAAGATTTAAGAGTGAGACTCATTTTTCCACCATATTCCATTAACTACACTCATTCTGAAGTGGCAACAGAATGTATCCAAGCTAATGCTCCCCACACATTTTACATTACACATTACAGAATTATGGAGTTAGGAGAAGTACAATTACTGGTTGTCTACTGTATCTGGCTAAACATTAACCTCATATTTACAAATAAGATCTGGGAAATATATTTTGAGCCATTTTTATTGGAAAAAGAGATAAATATCAAGTAATTTGTAATATTCAAAATTTATTACTTTGGTTTAATTTATGTTTCATAAAGTTCAATTAAAAAGGTATATTTAAAATAGTGCATAAATTTTAAAGTTACTAAAGTAAATAAATAGATCTGATAAAAAGTTTGCTTCTTGAAGAGTTATAAAAATTATAAAAGGAAAAGCTTGAAAAATTTTCTAAGCCTACCAAAAATAATGGTCACTAGAAATTTCAAAGATGGTATGGTTTAAGATTGCTGGCCCAGTATTTAAACAAATCCAAGGGAAGAAATTAGAACCCTTGTTAATGACGAAAAAGACTTTACTTCAGCAGCAGTAATAGCAGGTGAAGCTTAGCCTCTCTTCTAGACACCCTGCCTAGTTAAAAGGGAATTATTTTGAATATATGACCAGCTTTGTTTCTATTTTGACTTGGCTTTCTTCCTCTTTGACTCATCTTTTTAATTTTCCTCTGGCATTTTCCTTTCAAGTACATTTTTTATTTGAATATCTTTCAAAAGGACTTGAAGAACTTCCGACATGAAGGTACTGTTGGTACTCGCTCACACAGTCGTCTCTTTTACGTGTGGGACCGTAACAATGGCCTCAAATTCCTAGTTGACACTGGCGCAGCCATCAGCGTGATACCACCCACCAACAGATCCGCCTTGAAACCCACCCCATTCCAACTTCGAGCGGTAAACGGCTCCACCATAGAAACCTATGGGAACAAGGAACTTACCTTGAATATCAACCTCAGGCGCGACTTCAAGTGGTCATTCACCATAGCTGACGTCAGGATACCCTTGCTCGGTGCCGACTTCTTGGCACATTACAACCTGGTTGTCCATATGAAGACGAGGACCCTGTCTGATAACACGGCATCCATCAAGATCACAGGGATCCCTTCGAGTTTCAACACAACTAAGATCAGCGTGGCAACACAGCATGATCCACGCTACGTAGAAATCCTGCGCCGGTACAAGCACCTCACGCAACCCATCAAACCAACTGATGCAGGCGACCATCAGACCCAACACCATATAAAGACCACTGGACAACCAGCATATTCATGGCCACGACGACTCCCTCCACACAAACTAGCATATGCCAAGAAAGCGTTTGAGGAGTCGCTGGCCGACAATATCATCCGACCCTCAGACAGCCCATATGCTTCACCACTGCATCTGGTACCCAAATCCGACGGGGATTTCAGGATCTGCGTGGATTACTGGAAACTCAATGCATCCACAGTGCCCGACCGGTATCCTGTTCCGCATATCCATGACTTTGCCTCAGGTTTACAGGGGGCCCACATTTTCTCAAAAATTGACCTGACCAAAGCCTACTACCAAGTTCCAGTTGCTCCAGAGGACATCCCAAAGACAGCAGTTTTTGGACTGTTTGAATTCCTAAAAATACCCTTCGGACTGCGCAACGCAGCCCAGACGTTCCAGAGGCTGATGGACGAAGTTCTGCGTGGCCTACCATACGTCTACGCATACATTGATGATATCCTAGTGGCTAGCAGAGACGCTGATCTCCACAAACAACACCTGGAGGAAATGTTCCGCCGTCTAACACATTACGGCCTCCAAATCAACCCAGACAAGTGCGAATTCGGTGCACAACACATAGACTTCCTTGGACACCACACAGACGCTCAGGAATCACTCCACTTCCTGATAAGATAAAAAAGCCATACAGGATTTCCCGATGCCCACATCGATAAAAGCAACTCATGACGCTTCTTGGGGATTTTACACTGCAGGTTTATCCCTGGATGCTCAAAACTCCTCACCCACTGACAAATCTCCTCCAGAGAAAAAAAAAAGCCATCACCCTGGAGGGCGACCAGGAAAAATCATTCAAGCAGCAAAAACTTTTTAGCTAACTTTACAAAGTTAGCACATCTCAACGAAGACACCCGGACTCAGATATATCTAACAACAGATGCCTCAGACACTGGAGTTGGAGCTGTGTTAGAACAGGAGTTTGACGACCAACGCAAACCCATCGCATTCTTCTCAGCTAAATTATCACCAGCCCAGTCCAGATACAGCACCTTCTCGAAAGAACTTTTGGCTATATACCTCACCATCAAACACTTCCGACATCTACTGGTAGGCCGGAATTTCACCGTTTTGACTGACCACAAACCCTTGACAACTTCCCTGTCGAACAATTCGGACAAATATACGGCTCGCGAGATCAGGCATCTGGACTATATCTCACAGTTCACGTCCGATATTCGTTATGTCAAAGGAAAAGACAACTCTGTCGCCGATGCCCTATCCAGATTTGATGTCAACACAGTGCAAGACAGCCCACTCAGCCAGGACCTGATAGCAGAGGCCCAGGAATCCAACGCAACCCTCCCTGAAGTCCTAGCCAACACATCCCTGCAACTGAAAGAATTTCCGGCACCCTTCAGCAACAAAATATTGTACTGCGATACAAAACTGGATCACCCCAGACCTTACATACCTCCGGCACTCAGAAGGCAAATTTTCAACCACCTCCATGGATTGTCACATCCCAGCAAGCGCGCTACGGTCAAACTCATTGCCGATCGTTTTGCGTGGCCCAACATGAATACTGACATCCGTAATTGGGTATCAACATGCCTTAAGTGCCAGAAATGCAAGGTACACCAGCACACAAAATCCCCGCCAGGCACATTCAGCAATCCTGACGCACATTTCAGCCACGTCCACATTGACATAGTGGGACCTCTCCCAATGTGCCAGAATTATCAGTACCTCCTCACAGTGGTTGACCGTTTCTCCAGGTAGCAGTACCCATCAGAGATACCTCGGCTAGCACGGTAGCAAAGACTATCCTTCAGGAGTGGATTGCAATTTTTGGCGTACCCAACATCATCACCACAGACCGCGGCAGCAGTTTCAGTCCTCACTCTTTCAGGAATTCACTCAACTGCTCAGCGTCAGACACATCAAGACCACCGCCTACCATCCCTGCGTTAACAGCCTTGTGGAAAGGTTCCACCGAACACTAAAGGCCTCTCTAACTACAAAACATCCCACCAGCAACTGGGTAGACGAGCTACCCTTAATCCTTTTGTCAATCCGCAACACACTCAAAGAAGACTTAGAATGCACTCCAGCCGAAATAGTTTTCGGTACAGCGCTCTCTTTACCCGGCCAATATTTCGATGACACCATACCCAACCTAACCACTGCAAGTCCTTTCACTCAGGAACTTCGCCATAAAATGGCCCAACTGAAGTATACACCACTCAGGCAATCATCACCAACTATCCACGTTCCACAACAGCTTCAGGACTGTGAGTTCATTTTCGTCCGAAATGATGCGGTAAAGAAACCACTGACACCAACATACCAGGGTCCATTCAAAGTTTTGAAACGCTCTGAGAAGCATCTCACCATTGATCGAGGAAGCCGGACAGACACCATCTCTATTGACAGAGTCAAACCAGCTTTTCTGGAAAAATCTCCACGGGAGACAGAACCCGTCTCAACACACCCAGAACCCTCACCTGCCTCAACAACCACGCAATCGCAACCGTCACAACCGAGGTCAGAGCCAATACCAGAAGCACCAACAACTCCAACCAGGCAGACCTGCCTTGGAAGGAAAGTCACCTTCCCTAAGAAGTACAAGACATATATTTACTTCTAATTGATAATGATCAATTATCCTGGGAGAGGGCTTTGTCGCAGTGTGTCCAATCACCACTCCCACCTTTTCTTAAACAATCCCGGATATGCCTGCTGGTAGAGAAAGGTCACGACCCTTGTGTGCTAAAAATAGCAACGACATCCTTTCAAACTGACAGAAACACACAAAACTCAATTTTCGCCACTAAACAAAAATAAAAGACCTTTAATTTTGAACCGAAATTAATTTAAATACAGTCAACAAACACCGAACACACTTTTGACTGTAATTAATATGGCCCGAAATTAATTATATTCATTTACTTGTTTAGCGTCACTGCTTCTCTTGTATGAACTATCATATCTAGATGCCCGAGACTTCGCAGCGGATTTTAGCCGGCCAGGGAGCAGGGAGCCTTCCTGAATCGCGACTTTGACGTGCACAGTCAAGTCGACCGAGCCCAGCAGCTGACGGGACCCAGCATCAGCAGCAGCATTTGTTCAAACAGTCCCGAACAAACAACCTCTGTAGTCTTTCTATCCACCGCTTGCAAATAAAGACACGATTTCTATCGTCTACAATGGACCATCTGCGTTTGTCATCCTTCTTTGCTATTGCCATCTCCTTGCCTTTTGTGTCCCCTTTTTAGTTGTACGGTCGATTGGCACTCACACCTCTCGGCCCGCTGCAACAAATCCTTATTATTAACCATTTTATAAAGTTTGAATCGATTGGCAATTAGCTGATGTTTTGCTAACCATTCCGATAAACAATATAAATAAATAAATAATATTTTATGTAAATTTTCAAGAACAAAGAAAATGTATAAATTCAATTTCATCATATGTTTAAGTTTTATTAAAATTATACTCATCCTTTTTTAAAATAATAAACATTGCTGAGGATTGAAGGTAGTGAAATTTAATAGTAGTGTTAAGGGAAACACTATCCTTTTAGCACACCATTTTTTTGCAGGCACAAAGGTTAAAGGTTACCAAGATTTCTTCATACTGTCATATGACATGTAAGAAGTCACTAAGAAGAGAACAATCAACTGACTAAAAGAGTTTGATAAGTACTGTTTGAACTGACTCTATACTTTAAATAACAAAATAGATCAGTTCAAGGCAAACTGCATTTGATTTCTTTGTTGATAGAACAAGTAGAAATTCCAGTACATGATTGATAAATCTAGAGAAATAAAAAAACGCTTTTAATAATGTAGAAGCATCTATTAAGGCTTCCACTTCTTGATCTGTCTGCTATATACATCACTCAGTGTATTACAACAAGAAAATAGAGAAATCATTTTCAAATTTTTTGTCCTACCAGAACTGTCTGCTATCACCTATGATTCACCAATTTACATTGGATTCCTTTATGAGAAAGTCAAGTGTAAATCTCAAACTGCAGAGTGTTGAGCTGACAGAAGTCAGGTTTTGACTTCCTTATACATTAATGATATTAACATTATGGTATTTCTGTTGAATTCATTCAAGACTATGTTTGACAAAAGTGAGGAACTTGAGAGTTATGAGCAGGCAACAAGAGCCATGATTCCCTGTAATAAAACTGCCAGTTTGGGTAGAAGGAAATAGATCCTTTTTGGCCTCTTTTAATGAACGGACTCATTTGAGTTCTTGGGATTTTATTAGAACATGATTCTATCTGGAGAAAAATTGGCTAAAATGTTTTTTCTCTAAAAGGTAGAATATAGATGCGTACTTCTTACATGTAACCCCAGATTTTTACAAAATGACTGTATTACCTCCCCACTGTGTTATTCAAGGCTACTTTAAAAAGAACTGTTATTTCAAAATCCACTAGTGCTGCAGGTATTCCTTGCTTAATAGAGAAGATTGTTGCACCAGCCTTTCAAAAGGAAGCTAGGTTGTAACACTTGAGATCAAGATGTTGCATTCTAAGAAGTTTTATTTTCTTAAAAAGATGATGATTGGAAAAAAAAATATGGGAATTTTGAGAGAATTATTTTCTAATGTTGGTGACTTAAATACTCTCAGGGAAAAAGTTTGACAGTGTCTATTTGATAAGAGTCAAGAGGAATGTCATGTAATATTCTTTCTGGTGTTACCTCTTCTGGTTGGTCACTATCTATGAAAGTGTTTTATTTAAAAACAATGACAGGGATTTCATGTGACTAAAAGATGGCTAGACTGTTCAAGATCTGGTATAAGGAGTGGGAATCTTTAATATTTCAGGGATTTCAGTCGCATAATAAGTAATGTGGAGTATATTTTGAGTTGATAAATGGCTGTCCAGAAGGAGTCTGGTAGATTCCATCAAGTGTCAACACTGTAAGCTAGAAAAGTAGATAGTGTCTCATTGCTTCTACTTCTATTTGATTGTGGTGCCTTTTTTTCTCTGAAATTTAAATATATAAGTTGCATACTGTATCTCCCAAGTACAGAAAAGAAGCATATGAGACTTTTACATCTATTAACAGTAGCCAGAACTACAATATGGATAATGAGAGAGAAGGGAAATATCTAGGTCTGTTTAATCTAGCTAAGGATCTAACAGTTTTCATTAAGCATCAGATGTGAGAGGAGAAAATTACCATTAATATTGTTCAACAAAAGGTTGACAGATATTAAGATAGTGTCATATGAATGTAACAGAACTTGAGTGATGTTTTTTGGCATAATAAGTATTTAGGGGTACATAAATATTTTCCAATCATTCTCTTTAGTTTTTCTTTGAGAGAAAATGGTCATTTCCATCTTGTCCATCCATCTTGTCTGATATATTTTACTTGTTTTCTCTCTCCCATTTTCACAGACTGTAGCTAATTGACAGAGACTAGTGTTTCTTTAAACATGATTAACCTTGTTTCCTGAAACCCTAGAGTGCAACATCTTTCATTCAAAGTAACAAATATATAAGTCTCATGAAGCAAATATGTTTCTTTCTCTTTCACTAAATATACTTTCCTTTCACATTCTTGTAAACATTGGTATATACCACTGTATACTGTTTATAACCTACAAACAGCGCATGCAGTATTTTTGTGGTTAAAAGGAAAGTGTTACTTTGGATCTTGTTTGGCATTCTGATGATTATCATATGTGAGTTTAGCTTTTACAGTGATTACATATTAAAGAAATATGTTAATCCAAATTACACAGTCTACACAGGCTTTTTACTAAATTCATATCCATGTAATGTACATTTTGTTATACCTTTATAAATATTTACACTTTTGTCTGTTTGAGATGGTAGCAAATGAGCCCAATATCTGTAATCAGTGTTTTAGTCAAAATCTATGAACTGAAATGTTACCCAAGTACTCAAAACTTTATAGCTTAAATCTTTTATATATATATATATATATATATATATATATATATATATATATATATATATATATAAAAAAAGTTGTAATTTGCATTAGATTTGGATATAGGATAAATTGTATGTAAATCAACAACATTACTGTTGATATGTATGGATAACATTTACCTTTGACTTTCAAATAAATGGGCCAAGAGTCATATCAATTTATCTTTTCTGGCTTTTAGTTGTTATTTTTAATGTATCTTTGAGATTTAACATTTAATTTTGTTGTGATTTTCTTGATATTGGTTTGATCTATTGTGTAAATATCTCGTAGGTAAATATAACAAGGGAGGCAATTTTTCTTTGACAACGTGATGGTTACCCTTAATTCAGAAAAATTACAAAACTACTTGATATTTACGTCATTATTCCAGATTATCTCATTATCATTATTATTATTATTATTATTATTATTATTTCCTTTGATTTCTGTTGTATAGACATTTCCTTCTGGGTCCCAACCAAAGACCTAAGGTCAGACATGGCTTCATGACATTTTCCATTGATCATTTTTGTAAAAAAAAAAAACCTAAAATCACACGCATTTTACATAAATCTTTGTAATGTGTGAGCTGTACCTGTGAGTACAATTTTTTGCATTTCTTTAAGGCATGATTTACCAGGAACCCTTTTAATGAGTCTATTGGAACCTTTTTCAATCAATCCGAGGGCTCCAATTACAACTGGAATTATTGATGTCCTCATGTACCACATTTTTGCGATTTACATCAAAGATACATTGAGCTGCCATATCAATAAGAAAGCACATTCTGTTTTTGTGGTCTTTGATCACAGTGTCTGAGCGATTAGCTTTGATTGTTCCGTCTGTGTGTATTGTAAAGTCCCACAAAATTGTTACAGACTTTGTCTCTGTAACTGGGTCTGGGTGAAGTTCATACTAGTTTCTTGCCATTTTTCCCATAAAAGTTGCATAGTTTCCAGTGAAGATATTAGCCCACTCTATCATGCTGATTTTTATATTCAGTGGATGCTAACACTGCAACCTGATACAATATGGTCAATTGTTTCTGGATATTTATCACAGAATCTGCATTTCGGGTTAACAAAATTTTTCAGTATGTGTGTATGGTAATTTCTAGTTAGCAAGCATTGGTCCTGTGCAGCAAGAATAAAACTGTACTGTATTATTGTAAAAAACAGATCCAGTTTTTAAAAATCAACAATAATCCCTAATCACTGACTAATATTCAACTTATTAATCATTTATATTTACTACTTTTCTGCAATCAATTAAGCATTGTTACATAATTTTTTTATTTCATTCTAAAGACAGGTGAAATGAAAAAGAAGAAAAAATAAATGGGGAACGTTTGAAGAGAAACTACAGAAAATATCCTTTCAATATTTAAAAATGATAATTACTTGATATAATGATTTTCATGTGACTTTAGATAAAAGCAATATAATCATATTTTTAATGTAAAATTATTTTATATATATATATATATATATATATATATATATATATATATATATAACTCTCCAGACTGAAAGCCCCTTGATTATTATGTGTGGGGTGCAGTTCAGTGAGAGACCAACAAAACTCTTTGTAATACCAAAGATGAACTGAGGGCAAGGATTATGGCAGCATTTACCAATTTAAACAAGGAGACCATCCAGAAGAGCTGCAGAAGATTTTGAAGTCAACTGGAGGCCATGGTTGAAGCCAATGGTGATTTTATTGAATAAATTTACTCTTTAATATTTCAAGATATTTTTGTGTAATTTTGTTAAGTATATCTGTTAAAATGGGAAGTCAGTGTTATTTTCATTTTTGCATAATTTAGTTACAATTTATCCATCACAACCTGTATATATATTATTAGTTTTGTGTGAATAATTCATGTATATATATATATATATATATATATATATGGTAAACTTATAAATAATTCAAATTAATTATACTTTCTTTTAATGTATTTGTTTATTTTCATCCTTAAAAATTCTTAAATATTTAATTAATGCAATTATGTGCTTATTATTATCAAAATCTCAATAAATAAAATTATTCTCATGAGAAAAATATCATAGCATAAAACAATGTTATTTTTACAATACAATAATAAATTACATGATCAGAGTTTTAGTCATAAAAAGGTACAATAATTTACGTCTATGAAGAATATTTATATATATATTTTAAATTTATATGTATATATTTTATATAAATATTTTAAATATAAAGGAAGAGATTCATGATTACTATGAATTATTTGATAAATGCTTGTTTGCCAGTTTTTTTTCATTTTCTGTTGGTATATTGTATTTAAATATACAAAATTACAGTCTAGAATATAGAGTAATTTGATCAATAAAAGGACTTCTTCAATAGTTTGCTCTTACTATATTTTCATGTCACATCATAAATCTGATGATAGTAGAACATTTTATACTAATGTTCCAAAATTCATGTGATAGATGCCGATGAACCCTTCTTACCTATGCAGCAGCTTCATCACTTTCACAAATAGCCTGAAGATCTCTGTAGAGATATTGAACCATGTCATTTCCATAGATATTCACAGCTCTCTGATGTTTCTAGGTGCAGGGTCTCTACCATGTCCCATAAATATTTGATTGAGCTCATGCCACGTGAAAATGGAGGCTACACCATTTGTTGGAATGCTTCTCAAACTAATTCATTGTACCATATCAAATATTGCCAGTCGTCCAGAATCCAATTAGCAACATTAAAAGCCCAGACAAGGTGTTGTTAGCAGGTGAGTCTTCTACTCGTATAACTCATGGAAGCCAAAGAACACTGATCAATTTGAAAAATGGAGTATTCCATCTATCTGGCACCCACTATCAAATCCCTTTCAAACTTGATAATTCACATCGTTTTGCTATGAGTAGCCTACAGAAGATTCACGATATTAAAACACAACTGTTATAGATCTGGGTATTTCCATGATGTCAAGGTAGAGTCTAACCACATACTTCTATACTATGAAATCGATTTAAAAAAAAAAAATTAATTTTAACTTTAAATTGTAATAACAGATTCAGAGTTATCTCCCTTTGTTCGATGTACGTGTGTGCGAACTAAAATGGCGTTAAATCCGATTGTCATAAGTCCAGACAAAAATAAGGTTAGGCGATAAATTCCCTTTTTTATTCAGAAAATATTTTCATTATTTTCTGGTAATTGTGCATGGCTCTAGAATGTAGAACAATTTAATGCGATAATATATGCGAAAATCTCCGATGGTCCCAGCTCGGAGTTTTATGTTGTCCTGTTGTATCCAATGTCAACAAATGTTTTTTTTGTTTCATTTTTAAAATCATTTTCATTCTTTCTCTTGTGTTTCTTGCCACAACTTTTTGCTGTTCTACGCATCTCATTATATTTTATATATGAATATATATAAAATTATTCCTAAGAGCAACCATTTATAAAAAATTATTTTCAAAAAGCAACAAAGTCAAAGACAAAACAGAAAAAAATAAGAAGCAGTAATTTAATTACCAAAAAAGGAAATTGATGCTATTGTTTTTTTGTTGTCTTTTATCTCGAAAGCACTTGTTGATTTGAGACTTACGAATTAAGTCGCAGCATAATGGTATATATTACTGTGTTTATTCTTTATTTTAAAAAAAATGATAAAGATGACTTTTTTTTTTTTTAAATAACTATTTATAGAGTTCATTTAAAAAGCATTTTTATCTTTTTTTATTTTTAAAACATGTCTTATTCGCTTTTTAGGGAAATTGTATTGAAATTTAAATTGTTTTTTAATAATTACCATGTCATGGATTAATTAGCTTTTTTCAGAATTGTAAAAGCAAATTCCAATATTAGCAAAAAAATGTGAAAAATCTGGTTTGTTGTCAATTATGAAGCCTAAAAGAAGCATCTTTAAAATTTTACCCTCTCTAGTTCAAATACAAAAATCTAATATTTACAAATTTAGAATGATTATTGAATGAAATGTGTGAATGTTCACAAATTATTTGTGGCATATAAGCAGTTCACATAATTCTTTTAAAAAGGAATGATTACAAAGTTTAGGCACTAGCTAGCTAGACTTAAAGTTTAGTTTCCATAATAATAGGCACAGTACTAAATAATTGAAATTATTTTCTGTTACTTTTTTGTTGTCATCATTTGCAGTAATAGGTTTTCAATAAAATTTGTTTTGATAACATTATAGGCCAAGATCCATCAGAACCAACCTTACGATGAGTCTCTGGAAGTACCTGATGCAGAAGAAGTGGCCAGTACTTATTCACCTACACCTCGGTCACACAATCCATTAAGTAAGTAAAACAATCATTTTTTAAACAATATAATAATGCTAAAACTGTACTTGGCTTGCTATAGCTTAATAAATGATTATGACATTTGAGAAATGTTATATTGAAAAGTTGGACAGCCAACATATACAACAATTACCTTATATGACGCAAGTAGTATAACTTTTATTATGAAAACTGGTAATCAATACAAAAAAATCCTTAAAAATAACTTTTTGTCAGGCTGATTATAGTTTACTAATGGCACTTTGTTCTGAACTTTCTATATATGCATGTGTAAAAAATGAACTTAAATTTGTGTCATATGTTTTCTGATTGATTGTGTATATACCATATTGTAACTCTAAATTTGTAATGATCAATTGACAAAAATCTGTTCTAGTGTTTCTCATCGGCATGAAATATAGGATTAAAAATGGTGAGAGATATTAAGGGTTAAGAAAGGTTGCTGAAAGGATACTGCAGAGACAATAACTAAGTTTGGCTCTTTTATTTAAAAGAATCAATGTAATGAAAAATCATTAGATATGTTTCCATGAATAAAGATTATTGTTAATGTATGTAATATTTTTCACTACAAACAAGGTTTTTAATCAAGAGTATTACACAAGATATATAAAAAACATTCAAATCGAACATTTATCAAAATTAACTAGGCACATATTTTAAATGCAGATATTTGAATAGATTCCCTTAATAGGAAGACAATATGTGCTGCTTGTAGCATTAGTTGAATTATGACAAAATTCAAAGTTATTATGAATAATGTGCATGAGTCCAAAATTCAAAGTTATTATGAATAATGTTCATGAGTCCTATTGTCATTGCAAAACTTTGTTAGATTAAATTGTTAACAAAATGTGTAGCTAAAAGTATATGCAAGTGAATGTAAAAAAATCAAATCTGTAAATATTGTCTTACATATTGAAAGTGGCTTTTCATAAAAGGGTCTTGAAAAGGTTGACTTATTAATGGACATAAGTGGGGTGATTAAGTAATTGATTGTTTTTATAGCCGAGAACTAGTATTAAATACATTATGATTATTTGGTGCAATTTTTTTATCAGCACAATAAAAAAAACTCTAGCTTTTAAAAGTTTAAATAGTTTGTATAAATTATTTACTAAACCTATTTAAAATTCGCATTATTAGTTCACATCAGTGTAAGAATTTGGAAATCCTTAATTTCATGTTTAGTTATAAAATTGTGCTTTTTAGCACAATTGTGACTAAAAATACTAGTTGCAACATGTATATAAAATATTAGCACTTGACATCATAATGAGCAACACAAACAAGGAAACTGAAAATTCTCCTCTCAACTAAAGTGTTTCATAACTAAGAAGTTATGTATAGTTAATTGTGAAATCATGACAGCAATAGTCTGAACAATTTCTTGTAGGAACTTATAATTTACTATACTATCCTAAAACATTGCTCCAACTTGTCTTTTATGTTGTGTTGGTTGAACTATTTCCTAGAATGTACCAGTCTGTTATCCAGCCATCAGGTTCATCCACTGTAGTTCTACATTCATCACTAAAATTACTGTTCATAAATCAGTTTTTGTGTACTTGCATTTTATATTCCAGTTTACCTCATTCTTATTTATAAGAATTTAAGGCAAGATATAACTTTCTGATATCTTTATTTTTAGCATCATGGTTGAAAAGACAGATCGAGAAGTAAATTAAGATTAGTTTGTATTAAAAAGAAAGTTTTTAAAATTTATGAAAGTGGACAAATTTAAAATCTTAATGAATTGAAAATCCTTGTAAAAACATTTAGTTTATCTTTTTCACCCAAAACTTAAGAAATTTTCTATTTCAATTTTTTTTATTAATCGCTAATTTATTTAAATTGTTGTCCTCATCACAATTGTTATATTCACAACTGTTTGGCTGTTTTACACTCCAACCTTCTTCAGGTGCCAGACATATTAAACAATGTTCCCAGAATTTTAAACTGAACTCATGAGGATAGATTGTTCTCCTTCTGTTGTGCATACAAGGAGATATGTCATAAGTAAGGTGTCCTATTTATTTTCATGGAAATAACAACAAATACAAGGAGCACAATAACACCATTGAATAGAACAAGTTTTCTGCTGTAAAAACAATATTTTCCCCACTTATCACTCCATTGATTATGTATTTTCATTAGTAATCCATGGTTTGGCATCTATGCAAGTTACTTGGAACATGGCTTGTCATACACGTCATAGTCATTACTACTTCTGAAACCTCATTTTGATATCATGAATAAACCCACAATCCTTATTTATCAATTTTTTTCCTTAAAAGGATTTTCTCCTGCTTTTCCATAGTAAATCTTATGATGGTTGTTTAGCCATATGTCCACACCACAGTATGTCAAACTTTCATCTGCAAAATTACTCCTGTCATTTGTCAGCAACATACATCTTGCCCACTTACATATTACATACTATCATACTATATATTTATAAAGTCTACCATCTGGCATTGCTTTGAATATTACTGCCACATTTGGTTTGGTGATCCTGCTATAAATTTAGAGATTCTTGATAAAATCCAAAGAAGAATATGCAATGTTATTGGTCCTGACCTATCATCTTGACCTCGGTCCATTACCCACCACCGTAATGTAGCTTCCCTGTGTCTTTTCTATAAATACTTTAACAGTAATTGTTCTGATGAACTTTCCTCTATAACACCTAGACTTTATAAATTTAAGCACAGCAATGGCGTAGCTAGGGGGGGGCCAGACCGCCCTGGGTGCCAGCAACAAAATTTTTCAACCAGGCTAGGGTGCCAAAAATAGTCTGAAAACAGTGGTGGAGACACAGGGTTTCGCAGGCGGGCATATGACCCCCAGAATTAATTTATGACCCCCCCAGTTTTGTCCCCCCCCGGGAAATTTGTGAATAGGAAAATAGCAATGTTTTCAGCTTTCATGTGTTTCAGTTGCTACAATCTTGGTTACTAACAAGAGACATTGTTGTAACATTTTATCGGATGATATGGTGTTTTAACTCTGCATCATTAATAATTAACAACAAAGCAAAATACGAAGCCAAAAGTGCAACAATTTCAGTCTTGCCTGTGTGTCAATTCGCTGAGATACAATTTCCCATTGAGTGAGCGATATACTTTTGAATATATCTACTAGTGTTGGGACGATTAATCGGAATTGACAATCGGAAAAATCGGAACTTTTTAATTTTGGGGTATCGGAAATGGAATCGGAAAAATTTGTGCCTATTTTCTGATTCCAAAAACGATTCTTTTAAATTTTTAACTTAATTTTCCATTATTGGTACTAATGATAAATATTTATTGTTTTTAAATTATCACTAAAACTAAAATCATAATAACATCAAAATACGATGTAAATTTATTTTACTTGTATAAAGAAAAACAAAAAAATAAACTTTGCATAAATTCTCTAGGTAAACTTTAAAAGAATGCAGTTGATTTACAATGTCCTGAAAAATGCTTAAAAATTAAATAGAACATTTTTGTCAAGAAAAATACTTTCAAACATCATTGTTAATTAAATGGTACCCAGAAAATGATGCAACGGAAAATTGGACACCGGAAAATTAGCAACAGAAAATTACGTCAATCATGAGCTAGTCGAGACTGTCGGATCTGGCTGTGCTGTCCATTGAAAACGAACTTACAAGACAAACAAATTTTGAAGATGTCATTGACCAATTTGCCACAATGAAAACAAGAAAACATTCATTCTAAGACCATAGTATCGAATGTCATTTTTTTGTGTATTGCCGTGTTTTGTATTTAGTTGTTCTGAAAGTGAACAGTTGCATTTTAAAAATCTTGAACTGATTATTTTGTGGTATTGGATTTTGTCTTGGATCATACATGTAAACAGTAACATACCGGTCAGTAGAGTAAAGTAGAGGTAGAGCATGTATGAAAATTTAGCTACAGCTAAGCATCCAGCATAGGGTGAATCTGGGTCATTGGGGTGACATTTGAGCGGACCGCCCCGGGTGATGTTTACTCTAGCTACGCCACTGAAGCACAGTACTAGATTGGCAGCAAGGTCTCATCAATTTACAGATGAAATGGCTAAATGTAACTGTAAGTTCTATGTTAACAGTTTCTTCTCTCATAGTTTTCACTTGTGAAACTCTCTTCTGGCTTCTAGCTTCCCAGTTCAACTTTGATCTTCAAAAATTTAATGAAATGTCAGTCATTATATTCTGTCTTCTTAATTCTTATTCTTTTATTGTCCTCCTTGCTTAATAGTAGTTTTTCTCATATTCTCTAGCACTCAGTAACCTCTTGCATTCTAGTGGTTTTATTGCTTTGCTTGTGGTGAAATGATTAAAAAAAAAGTTTAGTGGTTTTGCTTAATGAAGATAACTAATTTGCATCCTCAGCTGCTTGGAAAATCCAAGTGTAACAACTGTTTGGGTATTCATTTCTTTCTTTCTTTTTTTTTTGAGCTTCATTTATAAGTAATTGTTGGTGTTTTTGTACCTTTCAAATAGACAGACTGGGACAATTATTATTATTATTTTTTTTTTTTTTTTTTTTTTTTTTAGAGAAAAATCCACCAGTGACATCTTTATTCTAACCACTCCTTTTATTAAATATTCAGGAAATTTCTTCCTACCCTTTATTTTAGGCTGAAAACATTCTATGACAAGGCATTTCATTAGTGAAAATTATTTTAAAAATTATAAAAATTCCAGCCACTACTTAAGTATTTTTATTAAAAATAATGTTCTTATTTATTTCGTTTGCTTTGTTGAGCAATTGATTTGTCTTCATTTATTTAATAAAAAAAAATATGGTTAAAAATGAATAAGATTCTTTTTGTAGTGAATTTTATAGGCTGGGTGAGTCCTTCAGTCCTTTTTACACAATCTGTTAAGCATGAACTTTTAGAAAAAATGATTGACTATATGGAAAGAACTGAAGAATTCACCCCACCTGAGATTATCAAGGCCAAGAAAAACAGCATGTCTTGCAAAATGATTGAATTGTGCAAAAGAACATATAACATGGAAGACAGAATATGGAAGTGTGGTGTGATCAGACTAAAAGAAATTCAATTTTGAATGGTTCTGATAGACTTGCATCATAATGGCATGACTTGAGGGAACAAAGCAAAACACAATGGTTTCTGAACTACAATTGATTTGGTCAGCACATTCTTCTGATTTCAATCCACTTGAGAACGTGGAAGGTATCTTTGCCCATAAGGTGTATAAAGAACCCAAGAATTGAAAAAATCTATACAGGGTGTATAGGTTCAATAGACAATGATCAATTGTGTGGATAGGTATCAGATCATTGTCAGGAAAATATATAAGTTGCTAAAAATAAAGATTTCTTTGACTGGTCTTCTGCAAAAAAAAGTAACTTACAAAAGAATTACATGCATTACACTTTCACCACCTTGCACATGGTGAGAAAACACCATCATGCCGGTAGGATGCAAGTTCATTAGAACCATCCAATATTGAATGTCTTTTAGTATGTTCACACCACACTTCCATTCTTTCTTCAATATTCTTTTGCACAAACTAATCATTATGACTTTTGGAGTTTGTAAGATATGCTATTTTTCTTGACCTTGAGAATCTTATGTTGGCTGAGTTCTTCAGCTCTTTCTATACAGTTCATCATTTCTTCTACAACTTGATGTTTGATGAATTGTACAAAAAGAGCTGAAGCTCTCATCCAACCTAAAATTCACTACAAAAAGAATCTTATTTGCTTTTAAATTTTCTCTTAGTATATATATATATATATATATATATATAAGATATATATATATATATATAAGAACTCATGATATAATGCCAAATCAGCTAACTTTAATCTTCCTAAGTTGAAAGTTCAGCTGTACTAGCAATGATATCTGTTACTTTATAGGTGGACTCTCTCTCTCTCTCTCTCTCTCCCCTTTGCTCTTTTACATTATACAATCATGTATTTGAAAGATTTGTGTATTTTTGGACTTCAAGTGATTTAATAGTTTGAAACAATTTGGCAAATATTTCATATACATCTTGTTAAATATTATAATTTAAAGATTTCTAAGATTTTCAAAATATACTTAAAAAATGCCAATATTGCTTACATTATTTATATATTGTTTACTTCTCTTTACTCCCTTGCTAATGGGATTATCATATTCAGAGCAGAAAATGCTATTATTTAAAAATTTTATTTTTAAAGCTGAATATGTAGATTCATTCAGTTATGCGTGATACATGCTTAGGTGATCATGTAACATTTGATACGTGACTGATGAGGCAGAATTTTTCCCGCAGTAGGTTGCCATTTCTTTCTGCAGAAGACCAGTTTCCATCCAAGGCTATAGAAACCAGTCTGTTCTGCTATTTACCTATAGTTGGGGGAGAAGAAGAGAATTTCCCAAGGGTATTAGCATGTAAGTGAATGTAATGGACTTCAACTGGAATTTGAACTCGGCTCATCCAATTCCTCAATTCCGAGCTGCTCTCCATTACTCCACTGTGCATCTGAATATGTAGATTAGTTTACCTCCATTAAGCAAGAACAGCTATGTTGGGCAAGATATAACACAAATGCATATATATATATATTTATTTGATGGCCACTTTGATGTGGTGTAATGACTAACAAGCTTGTCTTGCTAGATCTAAGTAAGTCCTCACTGGGTGCTCCATGCTATATAATTATTTGATGTCACAATTTTGCATCTTACTACACACATAGTGAGACAACTAACTTTATACGTAAGTTAACTATAGAACTAAGCAAAAACATTGATGATAATTGAAATGAATCAAAAATAATCATTTTTAAAACAAGATTACATTCCCACAAATGAATCCTTTTAGAAAAACTATTTAAAAATAAATAGTTCAGTGATCATTCATTTTCAATTTAGTACAGAAAAATACTTTCATCTAACTTAAAGAATCAGATCTAATATAAATGTCCATTGGTCAGATTAATTTCTGTACATTTATGATTGTTGAAAATTTCAGGTCAAAATTCAGCTAATAACTGTGTCCCTGTAATTATGCATACAGTAAAAAGCAATTTACAATGACTATTTATTATATAGATTTATGTGCATACAAATATATAAATATTTTATTATCTGAAGGTCGAATGCCTGCAAATCATATTGCAAACCATGGTAGCAGTCCACATGAGTCTCGACTGACTGACAATTCAGATGATGACAGCAAGGTGAGTTGATTGTGCTATCAATATGTTGAAGGATGTGTCTTAATTTCAGTATATACTATAAATCAAATACAGGTTGCTTTTTGTCAAAGTTGAACTAAAAATGTGACTTTTCTTATTAATAATAATTTGTTTTTGATCAGGAGATTGAATTTATAAGTTAGAAAAAAATGAAATTTTGGTTATATTTGAATTTATCCAAAAGTCTGGTTTGATTAAACTCTTATTAAAATAATGAAATTTGTTATTACAGTGAAAAAAGATTGTAGAAAATTCTGTTGTTAAAGTGTTTTTCATATTGATTCTTGTTTAATTTTCTAATCAGCTCTATCATAAAAAAATCCTTTCTCCTTGAATCAAGGAAGATAACACACAGTGAAAGAAATACTGAACATATGTTGTTTTATCTAATTTCTTCTTTTTTCAATAGAAAGCTTTGCAGAAAGTTATAGGCCGACCAGAACATTTGTCTGATGAAGAAGATGATGGTTCTGATATTTCAGATGAAGATGATGATGAAGATGAGGAAGATGAAGTTCATATTGAAGGGTTGAATTACTTTTTTGAATTTATTATAACAGAATCATTGACTTTCCAAAGTATCCAACTCTACATAAAAAAGTGTTGAGCCCTTTAGAAACTGATTATTTTTAATTATTTTCTTATATATCAGATTGTTATACACTGTTTTAATCAGACTACTATCCTCATCCACCAGCAAATTGTCTTCTTTTTTATGCAAGTCCTTTCAGGATATAGGTGATCATGGCTTCCTACAATTTCCCATCTTTTGTTGCTCTAAGTAACCCTTGCTCCTTTACTATTTCTTTTTGTTCTTTTTCTGCCAAACATTCATTCAAACTTCTCAACTAGCTTACTTGCTGTTTCCTCATGCTTTTCTTGTCCTGTGAGGGTTAAATTCCCTATATCTTTTTATTATGTGTCTCATACATTTTAGCTGTTTCTTTCTGATTATTAGTAACAGTTTCCTTGAAGTTCTTATTCTCCTTAAAACTTCTTCATTAATCTCATGTTCTGCCCATGGTATTCTCAGCAATCAGTGGAAGAACCACATTTCTGTTACTTTGAGTCTCTTCTTCCTCTGTGGGAAAATTATCCAACATTTACTGCCATATAAAAAGATTAGATATTATGTAACACTCTTTTGTTTCTAACATTTTCCTACCTCTTAATACTTTCCTTAACTTCTAAAAGGCAATTTTTGTTATCTCTATTTGCTTTCAGATTTCTGTGTCATACTTTCTCTGATCTGTTACTACACAGCTCAAATAGTTAAATTTCTGCACCTGCTTGAAATTGATATTGCCCATATATAACTCACAAGCTGGACTATGTCATTTGCTGACAACCATCTTCTTACAGTTAATAGTTAGTCCTTTCTTGATTTTCTTTCAGTTTTTTTTTCTCAGTCTGCCATCAACACAGTGTCATCCACATATCTTATGATTAGGTTAAGATTATTTCCACCAATAATAAATCCTGAAATGTCTTCTAGTTCACTTAGTATTGTCTTGCAACGCAGGTTAAATAAATCTGATGAGAAAATGCATCCATGTCTTATTTCTCTTTCTGTTGTTTGTATTTTCATTGAACATGTTTGCTATCCACACAAGCAGGCTATTTGTTCCCTGTTGAGGTTATAGATTACTCAAAATATATTCCCCATGTAAATCAAGTTTTTCTAATATTGCAACCAACTCTTAACCCATATGTCTTTGTGTAATCTATGAAACATAATTACAAGTTTTTCTGCATTAGTACTCCTTCTTCTGATAGCATTCTAATAAAAATTACATTCCCTGTTCCAGTGACTTAAACAGTCACACCCTTCTGACCCTATTTCCACTTAAATTGTGCTATGAGCTCTTTTCATTAGAATCATAATGATTATTTATATGGCTTATCAAGCTGACTGTCCAATGTAGTTCACATTCATTTTCTTGTTTTTTTTTAGTATTACTATGAAGATTGATTTGCTAGTCTTTTGGTATTTTGTGACAGTTGTATATTTCATATTTAGAATTTATGTATTCTGCTGAAAAGCACATTTTTGTCCTACTTTTTCTTTTTATAATGTGCCTGCTATATTTGTGTTTTGCAAAACATCTCATTGAACCATTCTTTTACTTGTTTGTACTCATTTCAAATGTTTTTGTCTAATGTCATATCCAATGCCATTTCTTTTTCATTAAAACTGGAATTTCACCTGTCATCCAGTTCCATTTTTGTCTCTCTTTCTTCTTTTGCAATGATCTCTTTTGGTGTTGTCGATGATTCTTCCCTGAAGACATTTCATTTTGTATTCCTGAATTCTTCCAAAGTTTTATATTTGTTCTTCACTACAACTATATATGATGCATTTGGCAGAGAAGGGACGTATTCAATAAAAAAAAAAAAAAAATCAAAAATTACTTTTTTCTCTGAAAATTATTCATTATATCATATCCAAGTATTTTACAAAAAAATAGAGCCAATTACAGAATATTTCAAGCTCAATTTAGGTTTATAATTTGGAACCATGCAATGAGATGTGGTAACATAAAGTGTAGATTTGTCTGTGAAATATCATTACATTATTGTTACATAATTATAGTGAAATCATTAAGGTTTTTGTCAAAAGCATTTTATTTTTGGCTATATATTAATTTAAAATATTCCTTTTATTTTTTAAAAGGAATATGATTCTAAATTTCAGAATCTCTATATTGCCCATCAAAATGACTGGAAGAAAGCAATCTAAAAACAAAAATGGAAAAGAGAGGTAACAAAGCATAAACGAAATAGCTCCAGTTTGTTCAACTTAGCATTGCAGCCAAAGTATTCTAAAATGTTGCCAATAACAAAGGAGAAAATGAAAAATACCTAACAACAAATTGAATATAGCATGAAAATTTATATTATTTATTATGTAACTAAATACATAAATGTCAACAATGTTTCTGTAAAATTTTATATTTCCTGCAATAAACTCTTAATAAATATTATTGTTATTATTTTACTTATGTGTAAATTACTCCTACATTTACAATTCGTTATGGCTAACCATGAAAAGAAATGTTGATCAAAACTGCCTAAAACCCGCAAAATTATCAAATGTTGAATGCCCCACCTCCTCCTCTGCCTAACACATCATGTTTGTTTGAAATTAAGGAAATGTTTGAATTCATCACCAGGTAATTTTTAGAAATCAAGCTTCTGGCTACAATTATTGTTTGGAGCTTATTGTATTGTAGCTTAGGCATTGTTTTTTGTTTAATTTTTATCCTTAGTTTGTATATGACTTTGAGGCTGACTGTCAGTGCTTGGATATGATTTTACAGTGTAGTCCTGTTTTCATAAATCATTTGTTGATGGTCAGATTGCCTATCTAGTCTTTTTCTGGGTTTTTCCACATCCAAATCAGGTGTTGGTTATTACTTAGTTATTCACTGTACACTAATTAACCCATTTTTGTGTGTTTTCATTATATGATCCAAGTTCATACTTACCAAATATTATACTGTCTTGTTTCTTTCTTACTTTGGTATTTAGGTTTTTCCATGATAATTTTTTATGATTTACACTAGTATTTGACATTTCTTAGTGTGTTATAAAACTCATTTCTTTTTCTGTATATTCTGAAGTGGGTGTATATGCTACTGTGATGGCTACATTGAATGGCTTTCATTTTAGTTTCACTGGAATGCTACCTAACAATTGCCAGTATTGCCAAAAAGACATTTCCTCTTGTCTTTTTCTAATATTAATCTGACTCCACTTTCATTTCTCTCCACTGCATACATGATTCTGTGGTTGTTTCTTGTAAAAAGAAAAAAACAAAGAAAATGGGATACATCAGCTAGCGGTTAAAAGCATTAGTTAAGTGGATCTAATTACATGGCTGTCAGGAGTTCAATACATGAATAGACTATTAACTGAAATAAGATATCCCTTAAGTATGAAGAGTGGAATGAGAAGAATTGTGGAATTAATAAAGGACTGGAGAGTACAATGACCAAAACAATGTGAGTATAACAATCAAAATGAGGATACTAATCTGAATGGAAAGGAATATAATAAAAATAATTCATCATTTGAAAAATTCAAACTTAAATTTTGATAATTTTTGTTTAAATTTTGGAGTTTCAGAATGACCAAATTGTTTATTTCTTATATTTTCTAACCACATTTATGCAAGAATTTAAGGAGCAGATGCGGAGGAAATAGGCTCAGAAATGAAGATTCATTGAAAGATAAAACTTTGAATCTTTTTGCTGACCATTATGAAGAGTGCTGAAAAGTTCTCCCAGAATATGAGCAAATGATCAAACATCCCTTCTTATTTGGGCTGAGAGCATTTTAGCAATCCTTATAAATATGGAAAATTTACTGCTGTAATGTGATTATTGATTGTTAAATTAAAATATCTCAAATGTAAGAACTCCCCCACCTCCAAAAAAAAAAAAAACATGATCTACAAATACAAGTTTCTTACTAATTTTTCATTCAATGTCAGCCATAATACATAAATGGATTTTTATAAATAAAATAATTAAAATGATAATAATTGAATTGCTGCATCTTCAATACTAAGTATATATATTTGTTCAAGAACAAAATATACATATCACTTAGTTTGATAAAGTTCATAAATTGGATCCCTGGATAAAAATCCTATGATTTTTTTTTCTTTATTCTACAGAGCATATGACCCTGCTGATTATGATAATCTTCAAGTGAGTCCAGAAATTAAGGAAATGTTTGAATTCATCACCAGGTAATTTTTACAAATCAAGCTTTTGGCTACAATTATTCATCATGGGATAATCTTCAGTTACTTGACACTAATTGGAAGAATGTTTTATTATTATTTTCCTTAATTTTAAATCATAAAAGGATGGTAGTCATTAAAAAATATGATTGTGGGACTAAAGAGACAAACTTGATTAATATTTTGATATGCTTAATATTCTGAGCAAATTTTGCTGCTGTTACAAATTTGTGGCTCTTTCTTACTGTATACAATATACAAGAAATAAAAATATGAAGTTATTTTTTATAGTTGCTGCTTTTGTAGAGGTTGCTTCTACTTTTCAGATATTCTTATCAAGTCATTGAACTGGAACACAAACTAAAACCATTCATTCCAGACTTTATTCCATCTGTTGGAGATACAGATGCTTTTATCAAAGTGAGTCAAGTATTTAATTGATATTCAAAAAGAGAATGCTAATTAAACACTGTGTCAGATTTTATTATGCAGGTTAATATTTTCTTTGTAAAATTGGTATTAACCAACCAATGTTGGTAAAATATCCAGGATATAGCTATATTTATATGAGCAATACTTTGTGTGAGTTTCAGTTTTTTACAATATCTGTACTTATTAAAATTATCAATAATAACTTGCTTTGGGAGATGTCAGTTTTTATTATGCAAACAGAGTGTAATATAAACTTTTATTTATAAATAAATCCAAGAGATAAACCATAGAAACATATATTGAATTAACAATATCTAATATATTTGAATAACTTATTGTTTTATATGTAATATATATTCCTTAACATCCTATAACCTTTATCACTCATCAAACTTGTAATCCATAAATCTTTACTTGTATCCCAACTCCTAACATATTTACATTTACTTACTAATTGTACAAGTTTGTCAACTATTTTGCAGTTGAATAAAGCCATTATAAAGGTTATAATGTTTCATTACAATTTATTCAACTACATAAAAGAAAAGCATGGAGTTGGAGGCCTATGTGTCTGTTTATTGATCCATGTCCACCTGCTGCTACCAGAAAATATAGACACTGGCATACAATCTTTACCAGTTTTATTCAGGATGATTAAGAAATGATACCCAATGATTATCATGTGTTGTTGAACTGTGTGAGTTCTTGCGCCTTGAAGAATGTAGAGAATTTGAAGTGGCCTTATCTAGACTTGACAGTTTATATGTAAAAGCTTCTAACTACTGGAAGCCAAAACCCAATGAACCGTTAGATGATTTTTTCAGAGAATTTGGTAAACTAAGGAGGAACTTTAATTTTTGGGACCATAGTCCACAGGATTGTGGCAACAAGACAGAGTGTGATGTCTTTATAAATGGCCTAATCTAGTCTACAGTGCCTGAAACAAGACCGGACTTACAGAATGTTTATAACCCAGTCTCCTCTTCCTTGCTGCCACTGAAGTTGAAAATAGGAACCTATGTCTATGACTGTAAGATGAAGTCGACTCACCAATCAAGTAAGATAGGTTATTTTTGTGGTGAACATTCTTGTTGATTGAACATAGTAACTTCAGTAAGCTGAAGTGTTGATGGCTACCAACCAGTGTCACAAAAAATGATTAGTAATTGACAACAATCAAACTATTAACAAATTCACTTTTCTTGATGCTTGCCAGGTTGGAGGATTTGGCCAATAGGTTAGCTAAATACAAAATTTTTAGCACCTTAGATTTAAAGAAGGCTTATCATTAAATCTATATCAGAGACTCAGACAAGCTGTTTACTGCTTTGAAGTCAATAGGAAACTCTACCAGTTTGATTTGTATTGTTTGGCATAACAAATGGAGTAGCAATCTTTTCACAAAGTATGGATGACTTCATGAAAGACATGTTTATTTAGACAACATAACTATGGCTGGTAGGGTTAAAAAGAAAAAATGACAAAAGTCTGTTCAATCTTAAAGCAGTTTTTTTAAAGATATCTTCAACAAGTTCGACAAGGAGAAAACTCTTAGCTTCATCAATTGACATGATGGGATATGCTATATCACACAGTATTATAAAACTTCATGCTGAAAGATTGCATCCCGTGCACCTGAGAATATTGCCCTCTCTCTCTCTCATGTAAATGGAATATTCATTTACTATTCTTGTAGGATACTTAACTATTCTTTTAAAGACTCCAGTTGTGCAGTCTAGGAAGTTTCCCTTCAGTCAAGAGGCAATTCAATGGCTGAGAATGAGAAAGGAGTGATGAGTGGCTATCCATGAATCCTTTCCATCTCTTCTGGAGGTTGATGCTTTTGACTTGACTGGGAGACTTGTGGCTTTCTTTCCTAGATTTCAAAGGTGTGCAAGCATTCACTTGTGGAAATGAGGTTTATGCAATATTAGAGGTACTATCACTCTAGGTAACACTTTAGCCTTGTGACACCAGAAGTTAGTGTTTTCTATGTTTGACTCTATTCACTCAAGCAAAATCAAAAACAATAAGATCTAGCTGTGAATAGAATTATGTCGTCACAACTATGATACTAGAGAAACATGTCTATTGCTGATGAACTTTCACAAGCTTTTAGTTTTTCTACCCCTCAACCTTCCTGAACTGAAAACTATACACAGACAATTATGCCACTGGTGTATTGAGCCTCTTCCACTTCATTCGAATTTGCCTTTTTCAGTAGATGTCAAAGTAGTTTACTCCTTTAGTTTTATTTGTCTTAAATCAAACCGCCAATTCTTCAGACCAAGAAATACTCCACTTATAAAGTCTACTGAATCTTGGGAATTACTTTTAAGGGACCTCTATCATCCAGTTTTTTAAATCTCTATCTATTCATTGGAGTTGACAAGTTCTTGCATTTCTTGTTTGCTTTCTCCTTCGTGGATATATGAAATGAAAATATCTCCAGTGCCTGTTGCAGTTGTTATATTTAGCAAGCCTTTGTATCTCTATGCAGACAGTGGGTGGGAATTGAACTTCATTTTTTTTGTGGGCCACAGTTACTATCAGCCACACAACCCACAAGGTAATGGACAGTATGAGAAGTATAACAGCATTATATGGAAGGCATTGTAGTTGGCTGCTGCAACTTACAATTATCCCATTACTAATGAGGAAAGTCTTCTCCCAGATACATTATTCCTTATTATGTACGATTAGTAAAGTGACTCTTTATGAGAGGCTCTTTTTGTTCCAGCTATAGGAATTTCATTCCCTCTTGGCTTTTCAAACTGGGAAGTGTACTTATGCCTACTTTAATAAGCATGACCCTTTAGTAGTTGAAGTGGAATTCATTAAAGCAAATTCTCACTATGCTCACATTTGCTATCTGGATAGAAATTACTTTCAATCTTGTGACTACCCTGGGAAACTCTGGAGACATTTTACCTTGTCCCAAACATTTATACCACTTGATGATTTGAGAGAATTCACAAGAGACTTGCTTACACACTTTTGTCCCCTTAAATAAAAATCCCAAATGAACTGAACTAGACAAGTTTCAGTATTTATTTCTATAAATACTGAAACTTGTCTAGCTAATAACTAATTGCTGTTTTTGTTTAGTGTTGTATTTTTCTTTTTGGAAGAGATATTGGAATGGCTCATAAATCTTATTCTTGTATCCTCTACTTTTATTTCTTATAAATTGTACAAGTTTATTGATGACTTTCTAAAGGTTATACTGTCTCATTTCAGAACCCTCAGTTTTTATCTTTTCTACTGTTTCAACTTTAACCTTACATGCAGGAGTTATTACCTCTCAGAAGTCTTTATTGCTTGAAATATTGTTTTCCATTCTCAGTGGACAAATTTTTTTATTGGTTTTATATATGGAGAGATTAGGGTGTTTCCATTAATTTGGGATCTTTGAAACATTTTTTGGCACAAGCTGTGCAATAGTCAGCATTGCAGAATATGAATGAGCATTGTTTTTCTTTAATATAATCTTTAGTTCTTGGGACCTGTATCAAATTTGAAAGAATTTTACTACCTACAATACTATCCTAAAACATTACTCCAACTTGTCTTTTATGTTTTGTTGGTTGTATTATTTCCTAGAATGAACCAGTCTGTTATCCAGCCATCAGGTTCATCCAATGTAGCTCTACATTCATCACTAAAATTATTGTTGATAAAACAGTTTCCATGTACTCCTTTGCCCAACTGACATATTTTCATTGTGATCTTTGCTTAAAGATGGAAGTTATGTTTTCTTTCATGTCTTTAGCCAATGTTCTTAATATTCTGGAGTTTTTTCTTTTTATATTCACAAAACCAGTTTCTTCAAATATATTTTTCAATTATCCTGGTCAATCCACTTTTTGTGATATTCTTAAAACAAGTCCTATTTCTTGGCAATGTTTTCAATTTCTTTTTTCCTTTTTCTGTTTAACTTATTTGCAATTTCCAACATTGCATTCCCAACACTCAATAACTTACATCAAATGACAGTCAATATATATCTGAAATTTAAAAAAATTAACTATACTAATATATATACTTGCAATATGATGAACAGACCACAAGTTGTATAATAAAATCTCACATGAACAAATATGTAATTGAATTTATCTGGTATATTTATCATATAAATATAATTGAGAAAAGTTTTATCAGAATTGACTGGATAATAGCAATTTTATTGTGAAATTATGTATTTTAATTTCAACAGATAAATTTTCTTTAAATTTATTATAAAAAAATGAGCAAAACATTTTATGCTTTTTTTTTGTACTGCCAGATTCCAAGGCCTGATGGAAATCAAGACATGATTGGACTAACTGTTCTTGATGAGCCTTGTGCTTCTCAATCAGATCCAACAGTCCTTGATTTACAATTGAGAGCAATATCCAAGCAGACAACAGCTAAACAAATTGTAAGTGGCAACAGTTCTTGTTTATATGCAGTCTTTCTTAGCTTCCATATATTTTTGGTAATGAGTAAAAATGTAACAAATTCAGAGGGTTGTACATTTTCATAGGAAAAAAAGATGAGGTAATATTATCTTGGATGCAGCTTCTAACATTGATTTGAGGTCTTCAACAAATTTTTATCTGTTAACAAATAAGACAAACTACTTTTTATCAAAAGTTTTGTCATTTTTAAGGTTGAATCTGAGGACAGATATAATTGCATTTGTTTGAAATTGTTGATCATTTTCTTTGCAGGTTGTGAAAAGTCTACCAGATGCTGAAAAAAACAGTAAACAAATTGACATCTGGATTGACAACATCCAGAAATTACATCGAGCCAAGCCACCACCAAATGTTCACTACACAAAGTTAGTTGATGAGATTTTTCTTTGTAGAATTTTAATGGAAAATTAAAATCTGAGGAGGTGTTTTAGTAAATGATGTATTTATCTAAAAGATAACTATTCATAATTAGATAAAAATATGGGAACAAATTGCAATAAAGCAAGACAAAGTTTTTTTATTTTTTGTATTAGAGTTCACAAGTTAATATAATTTTTCTTTGTTTTATAGAAATATGCCTGATATTGATACTTTGATGCAAGAATGGCCAGCTGAACTGGAAGAGCTTTTAAAAAAGGTTAAGACTTTTTATCATTAGAAACATTTACTTTCAATGCATTAATGCTAAATCTTTGAATTCAAAATAAAAACAATTGTGGTTGAACAAACAGAATTAAATCAAAGCATTCTTTAAAATTTTGTGGAAACATTGAAATGTGTTTGTGTACGTATTATTATATATATCAACATATGTGTGTGGGTGAAACGTTGCTACACACACACACACACATATATGTGTATATATATATATATATATATATGTGTGTGTGTGTGTGTATATATATATATATATATATATATATATATATATATATATATATATATGTGTGTGTGTGTGTGTGTGTGTGTGTATATATATATATATGTGTGTGTACATATATAAGGCCGGGAAGCTCACCACAGTGCCCAGTCCCCCCAAGCAGAGGTTCATGCAGAGCCTGACACTCCATTTCGAAGAAAGATAAAATGGCCACAACCAGTAACAAACATGCCTGGCACGATTTCGACGTGGACATAGGCGAGATCCTCGAAATAACATCAAGAAGTTCGGTGGATAAACGACTAGCGACAATGTCAAAAATCATCACTAGCTATGCAGCAGGGAAATTTGGATATGAGGAGCGGAAGGAAAAGAATGATATTAGCAAAGAAAATAGGAGGGAATTAAAAATTACACAATTTAGGTCGGAGCTAAAATCTCTTCGAAACAATATAAAATCGCTGAAAGCTATTAGAAAGACGACCCTTACGGGAGCTTGAGACCTAATTTGTGTAAAAATAAAGTCTTTACGCAGAGCAGAATGGCATAGACGAAGGAGGAAAGAAAGGGCGAAGAAACAGATGGCATTTCTCTCAAATCCATTCAATTTCACAAAGAAGCTGTTAGGGGAAAATCGAAGTGGTCAGTTGGAGAGTACCCCAAGTGAAATTAATGCTTTCCTACAAGAAACTCTGAGTCATCCAAACAGACAGCTAGGACTTGTAGATAACACGTCCATGATAATCCCTAATGCACCATTAACGCCTTTTGACTTGAAAGAACCAACTTGGATGGAGATTAATGCAGTCATTAAAGCAGCCAGAACTGCCTCCATACCAGGTGCAAACGGAGTGCCCTACGTAGTTTATAAACGTTGTCCAAAACTCCGCCGGATGTTATGGAAGTTACTGAAAGTTATTTGGAGGAGAGGAAAAATAACTGGACAATGGAGACACTCTGAAGGTATTTGGATCCCTAAATAGGAGGAATCCAGAAGGATAGACCAATTTAGATGCATCTCCCTGTTGAACACGGAGGGTAAAATATTTTTTAGCATCTTAAACTGACGCTTGGCAGATTTCCTCCTTAAAAATAAGTACATAGATACCTCTGTGCAAAAAGTGGAGTACCAGGAATACTGGGATGTATGGAGCATATAGGGGTCGACGCAATTGTTAAAAAGCGAAGGCAAATAGGGGGGCGACATAGCAATCGTGTGGTTAGATCTTAAAAAACGCCTACGGATCAATACCACATAAACTAGTGGAAGAAGCTCTCCATTGCCATTATGTACCAAGTAAAATTACTGAATTAATCGCTGATTACTATAATAACTTCCAAATGAGAACATTATCAGGAAATACAGCATCGGCATGGCATAAATTGGAGAAAGGCATCATAACGGGATGTACAATCTCAGCGACCCTCTTCTGTCTAACCATGAACATGTTAATTAAAGCGGCAGAAACAGAATGTAAAGAGCAAGTCACTAGATCAGGATTAAGGCAACCTCCTATAAGAGCCTACATGGATGACATGACAATAACAACTGCATCCGTTATTGGCGCAAGATGGCTGCTGAAGGGGATTGAAAAGCAGATCACATGGGCCCGAATGAGTTTCAACCCTGTGAAATCAAGGTCACTCGTTCTAAGGAGAGGTAAAATATTAGATAAGGAGCGATTCAGACTACCCGGGGGAAACATACCAACAATTAAGGAAAAGCATGTAAAAAGTATAGATCACTCTCTAAAAGACACAACAGCAATCCAAGAAACAAAACACAAACTAGAAACTTGGTTAAAGAGAGTTGACAAATCCGACTTGGGTTCCGATTTAAAGCTTGATTTATCAGCATGCCATTCTCCCTAAAATCTTATGGCCATTGTCTATTTATGAATTTACAACATCTCATATAGAACAATTAGAAAAAAGAATTAGCACACGACTACGAAGATGGTTAGGCCTACCGAAGAGTTTGACCAGTGCTGCTCTATACGGCAACACAAATGCTCTGCAACTTCCTTTCAGAAGTCTAGTAGAGGAATACAAAGTCACCAAAATTAGAGCAATAACGCAGTATGAGTTATCCAAAGACCCAAAGGTGGCTGGAGCAGGCATTGAAGCCTACTCAGGAAGAAAATGGAGAGCAGAGGACGCATATGCGTGTCGCTAAAGAAAGGCTCCGAAAAAGTCCATGTTAGGCGCCGTAGCTACTGGACGAGCTGGTCTAGGGTTCTTTCCTACCATCCGAGTGGACAGAGCCAAAGGTAAAGAAAAGAACCGTTTAATACAAGAAGAAGTACGCAAGGGCGAGGAGGAGAAAAGGGTGGCAAAGATGGTAGGACTACGGCAACAAGGTGCGTGGACCAATTGGGAATCCATGATTTACAGGAAAATCAAATGGTCGGATATATGGAGCAATGACATAACATAAAGTTCCTGATCCAGACTGTATATGACACCCTTCCCAGTCCTACCAACCTCCATCGATGGTATGCAACAGAATCACCACTATGCCATTTGTGTTCGCGTCCAGGAAGTCTAAAACATATTTTAAGTAGTTGTAAGACAGCACTAGCGGAAGGTCAGTATAGATGGAGGCATGATGAAATCTTAAAAGAGATAGCAAAGATAGTTAGCATGGCCATCAGCACCAATACTTTAAACACAGATAAAAGAGCCATAGAGTTTCATAGAGCTGGTGAGAACACCCCCCCCCCAAAAAAAAGCCAAAGAACATAGCAAATCCTCTGTCACTGGCAACAGACTGCGAATTAAGGGTTGACTTAAGGAAAAGACTAAAATTCCCGAACCACATTGTGCAAACATCTTTATGCCCAGATTTAGTATTCTTCTCTAATAGCATTAAGAAAATAATAATGTGGGAACTGACAGTGCCTTGGGAAGAGCATGCAGAAGAAACCCACGAACGGAAGATGTTAAAATATGACGAACTAATAGCGAGCTGCAAAAACAACGGGTGGAAATCAAGCTGCTTGCCAATCGAAGTGGGTGTAAGGGGTTTTGCTGCAAGGTCCATATGTAAAGCTCTAACAGACATTGGCGTAGTAGGTGCTAACAAAAGAAAGGCGATCCAGACCATAACTAATACAGCAGAAAGGACAGCAAAATGGTTATGGATTAAGCGTCATAGCCCTTGGACATCAATGTAACAAATAATCATCAAGCCGGGCAAATTTGTAAATATTATTAATATAATTGCAACATGGCAATATTGGAAACATTTTTATTAATTTTTTTTTTTTATTTTAATTTATTTTTCATTTTACTTACTTATTTTATTTTTTTGAGTATGTGTAAATATACGAATTGATATGTACAAGTACAGCCAAAGAATATATCTTGTCAATTTGTAAATTGTGCTATTTGTAAATATGTTGTTTTTATGTTAAACCCATGTTATACGCGGTACTTTTTAAGTTACTATTTAACTTTTTAGTGGTTTCGGCACGACACATCTCTTGTCCATTATTCTCTTTTTTGTTTGTTTTTTTTTTTTTTATTCGAACGTAAGACGTTTTTGTCCTTTTTTTTTTATTCGAACGTAAGACCTTTTTGTCTTTTTTTTTTATTCGAACGTAAGACCTTTTTCTCTGTTTGTTTTTTTTGTTTTTTTTTTCTCGAACGTAACGTAAGACCTTTTTGTCTTTTTCAATTTCACATTTATACGAACATGTCGCATTTTTATATATTTTAAATCTGAATCATAACCACATATATAGTGTATTTATAGTTTTTTTCTCTTGATCATTACCATATATATATTTGTTTGTATATTATTTTTATTTTATTAGTTTAATTGTCAGCAGTTTTAAGCGATACATATATATATAATTATAATATGAAGCTTTATTAATACTTGATATACGTCAAGATCATTTTGTCATCTATTATATTTAACGACTTCAAATTTGTATATAATCAATATTAAGGAATATTATAGTGCTTACTGTACTTTTATTTTACTTTATTTTTAATTTCATTTTGTATGTATACGAAAAATATATATATATATATATATATATATATATATATATATATATATATATATATATATATATATATATGCCATGTTTATGGATAATTATTATCTTAATTTTGAGAATACATCCAATAAAAGTTAACATGTAATAATGATAATGTTAACAAACAGTCTAAACGATAAAATGTGATAATAAGGTTGAGTTTAAGTATCCCCGCCAAAAAAAAAGAAAAAAAGTACAAATAAAATAAAAACGGCAAAGAATTAAACCATACAATACTTAAGGAGAAGATTTAGAAACATTAAGATTACCTCCTTGGTTATCCATCGAAACCGCAATCCACCGAAATAAGAAAAGAAGCCAGCCCCCACCGTTGGCCATTTAAAAGATATTTCGCGCATCGGATTGGTTGTTACAAACATCCAATCGGATGTGCGGAATATGTGGACTTTCTTCCTCTTATTCTTTAAAAGGCCAGAGTGGCTGCTAGCGTTTAGTTGGAAGGGGAATCAGGGGTTGCTCTCCCCTGATTCGGTCGATTTGGTGATGGGGAGTATGATGTTGAAAGACCCAAACTCCCTGATGAACCAAGTCAAAACATCACTGACGACCCCCCTTATATACATACATGTGTATATATATATATATATATATATATATATATATATATATATATGTGTGTTTTTTTTTTTTTTTTTTTTTTTTTGACAATGACGGCATATAATAGCTATTTCATTTCTCTGATTCAGT